ACATTAAATCTTTGAAAACCAAACCACGTGCAATAACACAGCTGTTTTAATGAGAAGCATTTAATCTCCCACTATCATCTCAAAATATAAATGCTCCAGCTCTTGGTTATGTACATAGCAAGCAAGGACTAGAAGAAAATTAACAAGCATCAAGGGAAACTTCCTGTACTGATTTCCATGTCCCTGTTTCCATGATTTACAAATCAGGAAAAAAATCTCCTCTACTTACCCCTAAAGGGGTAGCTGAATTTCCTAGAGCTGAACAAACAAAAGAAGAAAAGTGTTCCATGGTTAGAAATGCTAACTATATTTGCTCCCATCGGTAAGATCATGGGGAATGTAAGTCTTTCTACTAAGGGCAGAGTTAAGAGACTTAAAAAGCTGAACTATAGAATAAATACCTCTGGGATCCCATACGTAATCATTTGAGTAACCTGGTCTAGTGGAAGTTGTCTCTGCCCATGGCAGGGGGATTGGAATTAGATGATCTTTAAGGTCTCTTCCAACCCAAACCATTCTATGATTCTGTGATATCCACACGTGACATGGCTGTACCCATCCTCCTTGGCAGGAAACTTGACAAAGGCTTGGGGGAAGATGGCTGTTGCATCTCTTGCTGTACCTAGGTGGAGGTGTGGTCCTAATCTAAGGCAGGGGAATGAGCCTTCACAGCAATACAACTACAGCGATCTTCAGGTACAGAGGCTCTGCCCAGCTCGAACTGTAGGAGAAAATGGGGGCAGAACAACCCTTCCTTTTGTTCAACTTGTCTTCAAGCCCCTTTTCCCTAAGAACCTGGGTAATTTCACATCCCTTTTCTCACCTGTGCTCTGTGTTTTCTGTCTGAATAGATTGCAGACAACCTAGAGTTAGCTGGCATGTTTTGAAAATGTGTTGACCACAGAAATTTGGAACACATTAAATAAACATGCCTCAGGCGCCTCAAAATCTGGAAAGACGACTTATCACTATGCTGATATCCAGTATGCCAAGCGTTTTCCAACAAAAAAAGTTGTTTTTAATAAACACTCCAAGGCAATCTGTGACACATTCAGAAGGGAAGAATCACATTAATTGCAGAAGATGCTATTAGTGTGTATATCATCTATGAACACAGTGGAAGGATTTCTGTAGCTGCTTTAGTGGGTTTCACAGTATCCCCTGGGATCACACCTAAGCATAATAGGGATTAGATCTCTTGGACCCTGCAAAATTGTCAGATGCAATTACCTTAAGAGTAATAAATTAGTTGGCAGCTTTGTGTTGCATAAGAAACCTGCACTCTGCAGGTGACCACTTTGCTCTAGGGGAGACTGACCTTTCCTGCTTTCTGCAGCATGAAGCTGTAGAAGCTGCCAAGGGCTCTTCATCACAGCGCACCTGCAGCCACCTCATACCTGCTGCTGCTCAGAGCAGTGACAAACCCCATCCTGCAGCTCCAAACCTGCAATGAGCCACAGCTCCGTCCCAACCTGGCGCTCATCCCAATAGTGTTAACAACGGCTTTGTAATATTTCCATTCCTCTCAGGGAACTCCCTTTAGGGTTTGTTCAGTTTGGTTTATGAACCACTATATATCTATTCAGCTACTATAATCTATTCAGATTATTAGAAGGTGAGGTGAAATGGTAAAGGGAAAGAAATTAAATTTTAAATTCTTTCTTGCCAAATTCTGTCAAGTAACTGGAGTTAGTTAATTACACTTTTGCAGCAATCATGTCTCTTTACAAGCTTTATTAGTTGCATGGCTATCTAAGCCAAATTCTCCTTTATTACATTAATGTATCGTGAAATCCAAGTACAAAATTACACCTATCTGAAAAAAAAATAAAACTATTTCAAATTGTTTTAAGCAATTGCTCTTTAAAAACTTGAAAACCTGGAAGAACTATGGTTATCCTGGGACCTGACAGCTTGCAGGACACACACGGTACAAGCTCACCTAGCGATTCCACAGTTTCTGCCCAGACACAGGCACACCATCTCCAAATGCACTGTCCCAAAAAGAAAGCACCTGCTAGTCTGAGAGACCTGGCAGCTGCAATGTAAGGCATTTATTGGAGTTTAAAGTCTGCTGGTAATTATGGCATTCTGTAATAACCTAATATGACACAGAAGTCAAGGAATAATTACATATGTATCTATCATTATTGGCCCCCCCCTTCCCACTTCGCTGGCCATAGTTTTTACCTTCTCTTTAATCATGATTTGAAGTTAAAACAATAGGGTTTGGTGGGGTTTTTTTGGTTTTGGTTTTTTTTTTCCATGAGGTGGGACAGTTAGTCAAGCAATACTTCGAGATTTTTTTTTTATTAAATCACACTTTGCTTTATGATGACTGACAGACATGAGGAGATGAGAAGAAAACCAAACTACTCACCAATTTTCAAAAAGGGACCTTATTCTGCTGTTTGTTTCAGGGGTGCTTTGTATTCAGCGGTGCTCTGAGCTGAGCAGCAAGCACTAGAGCACTGCTGCTATCTACAGGTCTGCTCTGCACAGTGCCCAAACCAGACACGAAATCAGGTCCTGCAACAGGGATGCTTGCACTGGGGAGAGGGACCAAAACCCTCACACTGATGTTAGGTTTTGGGCAATGCAAGCTAGCAACCTGTAGCCTCTCTGTCCTGTGGCTAACATATGTCAAAAACCCCAAAACAACTGGATTTCCTTACACAGAAGGTTGATCCGTGCTGCACGAGAGCACAATTTCTGCTTTTATTTTTTTTCTGTGAAGAAAGAGGAAACGTTGCACTCTCAGGTGCAGAGTAAGAGGAAGCATCTGCTCCCAGATGGGAACCCTCTCCCACCGCAACACACTGGTGGTACAGAAGGGCTGGAAACCACCTTTGAGCCTGCAATGCTGAACTTTCAAGACGATTTGTGGAGTAATTAGAATTCACTAAAATTTAGTTGTGGCTCTTTGTTGTTTGGAATTTACTTAATTTTTATTTCTCTGCTTTGTCCTCTGTAATCCAGAATTTTGATAACAGCTTTTCTGCCTCTTTCAATAACACAGATAAACAAGATAACCTGGATTCAGCTCTGCCGAAAACAAACAAAGCGGCTTTCAGTACAGGAGAACAATAATAAATAAATCTATTTCAGCAAATACAAGCAAACCATGGAGGTGTCAAAAGCACCTGTTTAACCAAAGGTTATGGATTTCAGGACCAGGTTACCAAAGACAATACCAGAACACAAGCTTTCAATAAGTGGTAGAGGAAAGGACAAACTCAGAAAGAAGGAATATTTTTCCTCATTAAAAAAAAAAAAAAAAGAAAACAAATATTTTTTCCTAATAAGGAAAAAAAAAAAACCCAGCTTATTTGTGAAATCTGTATCCGAATGTTTGGCTACAGAGATGAACAATCAAGCACAGGAGCAGAGCACCTTGCAGCCAGGGAAAGCGCAATTAGAAGCTCAAACAGCTGGACAGTCTGATCTGACATAAGGAAACCCTGTGAAGCTTTTCCCCTTCAGGAGACCAGAAAAGCTCTTCCAAAGTTAATTCCCCAAGACCATCAGGAGCAGCAGGCTCTTAATGAGCCTGTTCCAAACGACTCTTAGCTCCACGCTGAGCGTGCTGTTCATACGATTGCTTATGAGGAAATAATAGCTGTTCTGGCCTCTTAAATACCAGTTCTTCTGGAATCAACTTATTTCCAGTACTGGATACCCAGTGAAAACTTCAGTGTGTGTGACTGGAAAGTAGCATTCTGCCGTTTGTTTCCTTTTTACACGGGAGTCCTGCCTTTTTGTCAAGGAAGTCTGGTAAAGAATTTGCCGGACCTGTAATAACGACTGCCCGTGAAGTACTGGGGAATACAAAAAAAACCCCTTCTTAGTACGCAGAAGGTGGTTTAAGCATTTGGAAGGACGGGCACCCGCCGGGTTACGCTCAGAAACCTCCACCGATTTCCTCACCAAGTGCTTTGGCGGACATAGAAGCAGTGAAGGGGCAGCCATTGCAGGGGGAAAATGACCATGCATGAAACACTTCAAAATATGAACCTCAGGGATGCACACATTAAAGTAGTTGGGAATACTGATTATTCTGAGAATGAAATATTTCCAGCATGGGAGGGACACGGCGCACACCGGACTCCGCTGGCTGCCCGGGGCGGGGGGAGAGCTCTGACCGCCCCTGCTGAGGGGCCAGGCCCCGCTGACAGGGCCGGAGGGGCCCCGCAAAGCTTCGGGGAAGGGTCTCACTTCCTCGCCCTCAGGGCCGGGGCGGGCTTCCCCGCGACGGGGCACTCCGCGGCGGCGAGGCGGGACGGCACCGGCC